AATATATATATATATATATACATATTACTATTTTATATGTATATATATATATATAACAAAATTCGGATTATGCGACATGCTTTTTTCATCTCCCAGATTATCCGACCATATTATCAAGTTCTCGTGATGATAGCATTACGGGCGATTTTTTTAGTATTACATTATCGTCATGAGAACATCGATAATGATAAGGTCAAATAATCCGGAAGATGAAAAAAAACGCTGTCGAACTATTCGTGTTCTATTGTATATAGTATATGTGTTTGTAGTGTAACGTAAATATGTAAGTAATATGTGGAGAATAATTGAAAGAATATTAATTTCAATATTAAATGTAAATAATTTTGTACCTAAATTTTTGTATCATAAATAGAATTATTGTCATATTTAAATAAAAAATGTGTAAGAGAGGGAATTATAAATAATAAACGGAATTGAGTGCGACGCGCAAATTGGATATAGTAGCTTTGTTGCGTCGTTTGGGGATATAAATCAAAATTATTTTGAAAAGGTCTATCAAGTAAGTGTATAGTTATGTATTATAGTTACAATTTGACTGCTTTCTTTGCTACTGAATTTTTTTGTGTCTGTAAGCAATTTCGGCGATTTCTATAGTAACTGAAAAGAATAGAGGGTGGGCATAAAATATAGTTATTTTTTGAGGAAATTTATATTATTTAAACTTTTCCGAGAAATTTTTATGAAATACAACAGCACAAAATAATACAGCAACAATAACATTGCAACAATATTACTTTGAAAGATTACAATATTTCCAATAAAATATTAATGCAACATTGCTATAATATTTTTTGCTATACAAGAAGTTTTGTAGAACGCAAATGTACTAACGAGAATCCTCAATGGAAAAAATAACCAGACTAGTTTTAAAAAATAAAAAGTCTGATTTTAAATTTTACTTAAAGCTCTCTCTTAAAAATTTTCTCAAGTATTAAAATGTTCGTAATTTGAACAATAGATCCAAAGGAAAATAAAATTTTACAACACTCCCTGACATTGTTTTTTATCAGTCATCAAAAATTGCCAAGCTTTTTTACAAGCTCTCACAAAAAAATTCAACAGCGAAAAATCAATTAATCCAGAATCACGCCACTTAGCAAACTTTTCCAAAACGGGTTTAACTTACAACTCCTAACTTAAGTTACAATATATATACGTCCAATTTGCACACCGATTCAAATTCTGATTTTTTTTTCATTTTGTCTAATGTATTTATATCTGCTTTATTCTAATTAAATGCTTTAATCTGATTAAATAGAATTTTATAAATAATTATGATTAAATTATATTTCTTATCAAAACAAAAATTATTACTTCAAAGTCATATTATAGCTTTAAACAAAATTAGTATTCTTATCTAGTAATATACAATATTTTTTTATAGATGTATGTAAACATGATAGATATCTTGTTTAGTATAAAGTGTTACATAAAATGACATTTTATAGAGCTATTAATCATGTGGAAGATATATTCAGTTTAATATTGCTGATACTATTTCTATGTTTTGGTACACTCTTCGCTTTCTATGGATTATGGATAATAAATGTAATTAATTTTACAAAAGTTTTTGTTATACACAATTTATTGCTTTATAAATAGTTTTCATATATACGTCAAAATAACGTCATATTTATATTCCATTGAATTGTAATCGCTACTTTATATTTATATACTTTTTTATATGTTTTTTGTTAATAAGAACGGTAAAATGTCCAATTCTAAGATTTTCTTATTCATATATATTTAAGAAAACTTTAAAATTGAAATAATCATAATAATGCACACTAGAGAATTCCGTATTTAATATTTACATAATATAGATACAATTATATAAACTATATTGATATATATATATATATATATATATATATTTATACAGGATATCCTATTTTAAATGACGACCTCAAATATCTCTTGAACAGTGCACGTAGAGAAAAATGCTTCCAACAAAAGTTCCATGATTTTAAAGGGAACATAAGTCATGAATTTTATTAAGTGATCAATCTATTGGTTTAATACCATTGGTACCATTGGTTTAATCTTGGGTGGCATTATCAAGGTCCGGGTAAGGTAACTTTAATTTTTTTTAATGAAACCCCCTCTTTTTATTATTCCCTCTTTATATTCTTGTAACTTACCTCGAGAGCTTTTCAAAATACTATAATAAAATATTTTTTCATTAAATACTTTTCGAGTTATAATAAAGTTTAAAAATTACAGTATACTGTCGGCATTAGCGTTACCCGGTGTCCGACCAATGAGATTAAAACCTCTTAAATGTTGTTCAGAATTATGACTTGGATAACATTTATTATGATCTTATAACTCGAAAAGTACATAATAAAAAAATATTTTATTAATTTGTTTTGAAAAGCTCTCGAGGTAAACTACAAGAATATGTAATAAAAAATAGAAGGTTCCACTTAAAAAATTCAAAGTGATCTTGTCCTGATCTTGACAATGCCACTCAAAATCAAACCAATGATACCATCCCCCTCGAAATCATTAAACTTTTATTTGAAACATTTTTCTTTAAAATGCACTATTCAAGAGATATTTGACGTCATCATTTAAAATGGAATGTACAGGATGTCCGGAAAATCCCCGCAATACTTCGGGAAGTGATTCGGGACCCAAAAAAAAGGAAAAAAAGCTATATGAATAAGTCAGACAATAAGTCGTTTCCAAGTTATAACTACTTTTATGTTAGAAAAATTGCAATTTATTTTTTACAATCACAATCATAATTTATTTCATAGTATTTTAACGAAATAACTACATTTCGAACTATTTTGACATTACCCAGGACGCATCACATGGAGGCATAGTCCACTTATACTACATATTTAAACTCTTACTTGTTGTGCATTCACATATACGATCTTTTTTCGTTTATTATGTTCATATTTTGTAAATTTATTTATTTACGTAATCTATAAAGTAATGTTTTATTAAAATTACAATTTAACATTTTGTAATGATCTCTTATTGTTAGTAATATTAATATATTACCTAATATATGACTACGATCCATTTGTGGTATAAATACTTTGAAGCATCCTTCAATTAATCACTTAATAAAATTCTTCGGAAATATTTGTAGTGTTAATTGGACTGCACTTATGCCTTATATATATGTATATCTTTAATAATAACATATATAATCGTAATATATGTCAATATATCATAATATATGTAATCTATTTTTAATAATAGCATAACATATCGATGCCTGAGCCGTAGAAGGTGCTATATAGAGAAAACCATGAAGAAAGGTCTAACACAAAAATAATGAAAAGTGTTTCCATTAATTTTTTTACATAGACCATTCTTCATGTTTTTCTCGGTATACCTTCTATGGCTCAAGCGTTGATTATGCTAGTGCTATAATACTAAAAATACTAAAATAACATGTTACTTCTTTTATAACGTATATTTTAACTAATTGACTAGATACTTGAAAGTAAACAACACTTAACATTTTTAAACTTGGCATATTTTGTAAGCATCGTTACCAATATATTCGGTCACATGTGCATGTACTGCGCTGTTGGTGAAATATTAACAGCTAAGGTATAATTGAAATTCTTTACTTCCTATTAATCATTGTATTTTTCCATGCATAATTGCATATTATAATAAATGTATATAAAATCAGAAATAATAGTAGTATTATACTCATAAAGCGAAATGTTAACAGAATGTCAACAAATTGATAGCAAATTTGATCAGAATTAGATATTAGCAGATTGACGTCAACTGATGTCACATTCTATTACAGTTCTGTCGACAGTATTTTTTGAACATTCTATATCAACAAACTATGGCAGAAATCAAACAGAACACTTGATTCTATGCCGGCAGATTGACAACAAAAACCGAGTAAGATCTGCTGAGAGAATTTTACGGCAAATTGGTAGCAGAAACTGAACAGTATTTGCGCAACACAATTTGGCAAACTAATGGCAGATATGGAGCAGATTCTGTTTTATAGGTAAAATGGTAATATTATTACTACGGAAAAATGTCTCAAAACAATGTTTCTATTACCTACATTTTTTCTATTTTGAGGAAATAATTTTAAACAATTTTATTAATACATTAAATATATTTAACATATTAAAGCTTAAATATACAAATAAATACATGCACTGTTAAGTCTAGTGTCAAATTTGATTTAATTTAAATCGCCACTGTCTACTAAATATATCTTTATTTTATGCTAAAACGATAGTTAAATTTGACACTATATCCTGTCAATTTAATACTATATATAGTAGTATGTACATTATATCTAAAATGTCTGTGTAAATAAGACATTCAAGTAACATTCTTGGGACGTATTTTAGACATTCAACTTATAGCGATAAAAACGAGATATTTCTAGACATATTTCCGACGTCCAAAGACGTCGAATTAATTTGGGTATCAAGAATGTCAACTCACGTGCTGTTGTCAGAACAAAAGTAGAAAGCGAAATCAGTTCAGGTTAGTTCTTCTACCATGCTTCGATCAAATCTGCTATCAGTCCGTCGACATTCTACTAGATTTTATTTACAAAACAAGACCTGTTCTTTTTGGCTGAACTTTTGCACCAATTCATCTTCCTTCCTTTTCTCTTCAGGAGGAAAGACGAGGAAGAAAGATGAACTGGTGCAAAAGTTCAACCAAAATGAACAGTCTCTGCTTGAAATTTTCCTTTCTGGTATCAGAAATCATATGGCAGACTTTGCTCAAAATTTGTTTCCGCAAACTTGGCTATCTGAAATAATATATCTTTAAATGTATTTAATGTACATTTAATGTATATCAAAAATGAAACTTATATTAACAAGTATATACTATTTATGTGTGATAATTATACGTATATAAAAGTCTTAAGCTGCAACTGTACTCTCAATAGCCAAAGCTTAATTAGTTAATTAAAAAAGTCACATTTAAAAATTGCATGTAAATTTGCATATAAGTATTATTATACAGCACGCTATTTTAATAATTTATATATGTATGTATTTTTTATAATTTTAAGTGCGAAAGAATCCACTATGCTGTATATTTCAATGAATGGTATACTTTAAATGCAAGAAATTCTCGAGACTTAGTTCTTCTAATGTTAAGAACCAATAAGCCTCTTCATCTTCACTTCGGTAAACTATTTCCTTTAACAATGGCTACATTTTGCAGTGTAAGTTATCTCGAATTTTAAATATGATTTTAGAGTACAATAAGAGAGTCTTTTTATATGAATACAAAATAAAGTCAATGTAAATACAAAAATACTTTGGAGCGTAAAAACATTAGAAAATGCATAAACAATAAAGAATTTTGTGTCAGCCACTCAACTGCTAAAGAGATTCTTTGTAAAATCTAACATTTATTTTCCACTGACTCAGATATTTTAAATTCACTTATATAAATTATAGAGATATAATTTTGACATGAATTGTTCTATTTTTTTTAATATATTATAGGTCATTTTTGTAATTATTGCTTAATTTGTACGCATATGATGTATTGCTTTTGTAGTTTAAGATTGTTTATATATATTTCTTATGAACTATTTATAATATATCTAATATTTAATAATATATGTATATATCGTCATTATATGTATATATTTTCATATCGTTTTTCCTTAAAAATGTCTTTTATTTACTTATTATTGTATTTTTTGTAGCTATTAAAAACGTCAGCTGGTTACATATCTGTTTTACTTACAACAAGGAGTCAATGAATGTTTTTTGAAACATATAGGTAAATAACGCCCAAATAAATATTAAAAATACAAATTCAATAATGATTTAACCGGAAAATATTAACTAATTTGTAAGATTACTTGAATAGTTTACGTAGAATGATAATATGCATTGTGTAATGATTATATGCATAAATAAACTCATTTACATTTTCTGCTGCTAATGTAATATACTGACTGATTGTTCTGCTCATTGATAAAAACTATCAAGTAAGAGACAAAAAAATTAATTTAAATATTAATGAGAAAGAAAGGAATATAAGTATAAGATATCTCGAGAAAACTATCACAATATTAGATTGAAGATAGTTAGTAATATGTTAGATAAATAAAAAATATAATATCCAACGTTGTTTTTTAATGATTATATATTTTTAATTTATATATACAGTTCTCTAACATATCTTATATTTAATTTAATATTAAAATAGAAATTGTGAGCACGAGTGTAGTATGGGGGACAGCGCGCGAGTCTACCATGTTTAGGGAAACTCGGGTTCAATCCGCAACAGATCCAAGAAATTTTCACGTGTTGGTAACTCTTCTTCGGCGCGACGCGCAGCGGTCTGACAAGCCACCATTGTAAGATTGTGTTCGAAAATATTACCCGAATGCCTCTGAGTATCATTTTATCTTTGTTGTCCATCGAATATTAAACAAAGACAAAATAGTACTCGAAGGTACTCGGGTAGTATTTTCGAATGTATCCATTGCCAAGAAAATCTCTCAAACTATCGTCCGGTCCGGAATCAGCGTTAAATTGTAGGGCCTGTATGGCAGTGTAGAACCGGTGCGCACGGCGAACATACGATCAATAGACCCTGTCCCGACTTTGGCACATCGCGCCAACGAAAGAATGATGAAAATAAAAATTTACTTATTGATTCCATGTTTGAAATTATTACGAATATCCATTATATGTATAGATATGAAAATAGATTACTTATAATATTTTCTGCAATATTTACATAATGCAATAAACGTTAATTGTTTAATGCCTCTTTTATTTTTAAAAACATCTAAAATATACATATATGTAGTGTTACTAATTAAATTATACTTTATAGCTACTGGAAATACCAGATAATTACATGTTCATGTAACTTGTCACAAAAAGTCAATTAAAAAGTTACATTGAATGATTATTCTACTTATTAGGGACACAAGCTATATAAAGATAAAAAAAAAAGTTAATATGAATGATAAAAGTAACTAACAATAAAAGAAAGAGTCAACTAGAAAAAAGTATTACATGCATCATGAAATTTAAAAAATAAACAATATATAGAAGAAATAGAAATAATTAATAATTTAAAATTATTATAAAGATAATATACATATATACACAATATACACATATATACACAAATTATTATAAAGATAATAGCTAACGAAAACTTTCTACTAATTCGTTTTACATATAATCAATATAATTATTATAAAGATAATAGCTAACGAAAACTTTCTACTAATTCGTTTTACATATAATTAATAATGTATACGAAATATATCACAAAACAAGATTTTATTTTTAATTTTAAATATTAATATGAATTATTAAGCCTATATAATTTAAAGATCTTTTAATTTTTTTACAATTATGTTCGTTTTTTAAATATTTTAATTTTGAACAAAGAAATTATAGTAAGAATTAAGTTTTTAAAGATAAGATATCTAGGAATATTAGTGTTAATTAATAAATGTTTTTTATAAAATATGTAAAAAATTAAAATAAATGTAATAGAATTTAATAATAACAATATTAAAAATTATTATTTATGGTGATAGCGGCAGTCCTCTAATTATGAAGGCAAACTTGTCGGTGTAGCTACTTACGGTATTTCATGCATTAAAACTCCGGTTCCGGATGTTCATACCAGTATAGACAAGAATATCAAATATATCGATGAGGTTATAAAATCATAAAAATTTACTCATGCTCTGTTTAATTCTTATTTTAAATACGAAGATGATAGATATTTACTGTATTGAAGAACAATATAGATTACAACATAATAATATATCTCAGGTAAGTATATTAGCATGTTGTAATAATAACTTTTTTTACTACATATATGTCACTCCATTTTATATTTCCAAATAAATTTTCAAGCAACAATTATAATGTGTAACATTGTAATACATAAATAAATATTTTTGCATCTAATAATTTAAAAGATATATTGATAAAAGTAATTGTTCCATCCATTAGGTGCATATACATACATTCGTACGCACAAGGATACGCATAAATATTATATCTATATACATAAATATATATATATATATACAAACAGATATATATATGTATATGCTTTATACATATATTTACTGTGTCTGTTTATGTGTGTACGTAAGTCTGAAATTTGTAAGAAAAATAATAATACTCTAGAACATTAAAATTTTAATATCTCATTTCTCGTTTAATAAATCCTATAATATAATATTATCACAAAATAAAAGATATTCTAGTAACCCAAATATCATAGATACCTTTTTTACTTATTTGACAAATGTTTAGAATGATAATAGATATCGTTAAAATATATTATCTCTAGACGTATACTTAAACAATGTAAGTCACTTCTTTGGTGATGGAGTACTAACAATAAGAGTACTTGTTATGTGCACATATATGCTACTTTGTATTTTAGTTCTTAAGTGTAAAACTTTGCTAGACTGTTGTAAAAAAAAACCGATATTCAAACTTTAACAGAAAGACTTTTACATATCGTGCACGTTCAGCTAAACATTAATCTATACTACAGGGTCGGTTTAGAAATGATTAAACTTATCGCCAATATATCAAAAATGCGAATCGTATATTTGTTAAAAAAGATTTTCTATATTCAAGGTATAAATAAATTTAAAGAAGCTAAAATATATTTATCAATCTTGTCAGTAAATTAATATTTAAATCTATAATATTTTGTAACGTTTTGTTTAAATATATATATTCTATTTTTATGAAAATGATAAGAGCATATTTTGATATTTTAACAACATTTTAATCAAATTCTCTGCATAAATAACAAAAGTTTTGCAGTTTACGAAATATGTCCAAAAGTTTATTATTGGATGCGGCCCTTTATCGATGTTGACGACAATTCTTGTTGAACGCAGTTGTTTAGTTCACAGAGGGGAAATAACTACCCTATAATTCAATTTCCTCGCAGGAAAACAATCTAGCTATAAGCGTCACGCGCATTCTTGTTACAGACATGTACATTATTATTAACAACTGCAATATTCACTCACGAAGAGAAGTAAGTCTATAAAGTTTCTGCGCACATTGTAGTTCACATTGTACGTGCTAAGGGTCATATTGTAGACATGGCAAAAGGGGAAGTTAATTCCCACGTAACTGACGATATGGTTGTCTCGATGCATACAGGACATGAAGGTGCTTATTTTTTTTTAATAATTTTAATATAGCAATATAAACAGTTTTTTAATAAAATAATTTTTATTAAATAAATTTTTAATAAAATTTTTGTTAAATAATTTTTAATAAATGTAGCAAATTTAATATGGTTTTCTATCAACTACGTGTACAGAGAGAAATTGCAATATAAAAAATATAATAATCATATGAGAATATTTTTAAGTAGATAAATTACAAATATTGTGGACAAAGATAAAAAACAAACACGCAATACACTGTCAATAGAAAATCAAGTCATGCATTTCAATTTTAGCAAAATATTAATTGATTCATTTTATTTAAGAAGAAGCTTTATATTAATTTTGCCAATGAAAACGTAGTATTTTTATTGTTAATGTATTGCAGAATCGTAAGCATGGATTCTCAGTAAGAGAAATCGAAGAAATTGAATTTTGTCGATTACAGCGCCATCTATCATGAATCGAGAAAAATGTTTCAGACAAATTGTATGTGCTTTTAGCCAAAGATTCCGAATATGCAATAAAAAATAGGGGTTCCCATTTAAGATTTCAAACTTGCCCCCCCTCACCGCCCAGGGGGCGGGGTGGGGGGCTAATTTTAACATCAGTGTATGTCACCCTCGGAATAATGAAATATTGATTCTTAACATTTTTTCTTAGTGTGCTTATTTTTCGAGATATTTGAAAGTTTCAGGTTAAAAAAATCACCCTGTATTATGAGACATGATAAGTATCACGTTATTAGTAACGCCGTTGCCGTTATTACTGCTTTTTTATAATCATTTGATAATGACATTACTATTTTTCATAGCGATAACAATAATTTCAAGATTAATAACAATCATTTTTTAAAATAACTTATTATCATTATACGTATTTCTCATTAAAAACGTTTATTCATTACGTAAGTGCTTAGAAAAAAATAATATCACAATTTTTCATGGTTTTCTCGATTTAGTAAAGATAAGTGAAAAAAAATTCTCATAATTTATACTTAGCTTTATATAAATAAAAAAAAATGAGATTAGAGTAGAATTAATATAAATAAATTCAAAAAAATAATTAAAAATTCTAAAGATATAACTAAGATAATATTTCTGTTTTTTATTAATAATCTTTTATTATTGTTACTGTCTACTAGATTTATAATAATTTAGATTATTTTCATGAAACTTTACAATATTTTCTTTGCTGAACGTTACAAATACTAGACATAACATACAATTGCTCATAAATTGATTTAGGACCTTAGCAGAATAGCTGACTTATAATCTTAAGACAATGCTTATATAAACCTAAATCTTTTGTCTTTAGTAACGCACAATAACTGTCTTGTGACTTAAGATGTATATACATGAGATGTGCATTACTAAAGACAAAAGATTTAGGTTATACGACGTTGTCTTAAGATTATAAGTCCATTCTGCTAAAGCCTTAAAGATGTAATCTTACTATCATTCTTAATTCAACATCACATTACTGTGATCTTTGTAATAATCTCGTTATAATATTCATATTTATTACGTATCGAAATGTGTACAGCTGTGTACATACTTCGATACGTATATAAATTGCATACTCATTGCTGTACTTCCCAAAGTTTGCCAGGCGCGGTGTAAAAACAGATCTACGTAATGGGACAGCGAACGTGTCTCCTAATCGCATTGGCGGTCTTAGGTAAATTAAGCATCAAGAACTTAACAATTTCTGTGACTATTTAACAAATTTCATAATTAAATTACGTTTTTTACTAACTTACTTTGTATTTATATTTATTTTATTTTCATCATTTAATTCATTTACTTTGTAGAAATATCATATATTATTAACACATTGTAAAACTACTTTTATAATACATTCGCAGGTGTTTACGGAGATGAACCAAACAAGTTAGTAAATGGAATACCTACCACTATAGAGAAAAATCCTCATTGTGTCTCCCTAAGAATCAACAATAGTCACTTTTGCGGCGGTAGCATAATCGGTTCACAATATATTCTAACTGCCGGACATTGCGTGGCCCCTCTATTTTCTGACGACTCTCTAAGGAAATCTGTGACCGTTGTTACTGGCACAACTTATCTCGATAAAGGTGGACAGGTTTATAATGTGGAAAAATTGTGGCATCACGATAATTATAATCCTCGCGCATTGGGTAGAGGCCCTCATGACATGGGCTTAATAAAGGTATAACACCTTGAAATAAATAATATATTATAAGTATCAGTTTTTGACATGGACATATAGTATACTTTCCGATATAGCAATAATACACAGATGTCAAATAATGAAATGTATTTTAATCATTCTCATAGTTTAGTTCATGGTATATAGTATTTTTAGCTTACGTCGCCGATTGAGTTTAGTCCAACGCAAAAACCAGTTAAACTTCCAACAAAAAATGTGACAAAGAGTGATAGCGTTACAATTGCTGCCTGGGGTTCTACGGATTTTAATAAACCCGTACATAACAATTTACAAAAATTAACCGCGGATGTCATGCTTCCAGACACATGCCAGATTTATCACAGTTTCATTATGAAGATTTATAAGAATGAGTTCTGTATCCTTATCAAGGAAGGAATTGGATTATGCAAGGTATATAATATAATATTATATCTAACAAAATGCCCGAATACACATTTAATTTTACTCTTGCATATCTTTTTATAATTAACGATTTTTATCTAAATACTCACTACATTTTGTAATTATTTTTTATCAATAATGACACTGTATTCGCGTTACAATATTACATTCCCTATATTCTCCAAGGTCATATTTTACATTATAATTAATTCATGTTTGTATGTATAATGGAATTGATTCCAAAGTAGAATTTCTTTTATATTGCATGTCTCTCTTTACTTAATTGTTTATAGCAATAATAACGCGAAATTATTGAAATTCTTAAATAATGCCAATTTTGGATTCAGTATAATGCAAAAATATTAATAATCTCAGCCACATAAGGGATAATACAATAATACTTTCTATTTTTCCGTTGCAGGGTGACAGCGGTAGCGGATTGATTCAAGACAGCGACGGAACAATTATTGGTTTGGTATCTGGTGGGAGACCGTGCGCCAAAGGTTATCCAAACGTATATACCAACGTTTACCCCTACCTTTCTTGGATCAAAGAAAAAATGACGGAATGATATTATTTCTTTTATATCATATGTTTTTAAAACTTAATAAATAAATAATAATAAATTATAATAATAAATAAATAATAAAGATCATTGAGCAAATCTTTATATTCCTTATTATATTCCTTATATTATAATTATTAATATACATTATTTGTAAAACTCTTATTGAATTTTCATTGTTACTCATACAGCATAACTTTATCTGAAAAATATTCTTATCCTGAAAACACCCATAGAACATATAGAGAATATTAAAAATTTAGATACCGGAAGATATTTAGATAGAAGATTAATTTCCGAAATGTTAAACATTAAAATTCAAGTAAATAGTATGAATTTACTATCTGATATTGAGTTCTTACATCATGGTTACGTCAACATTTTAAGTAATGTTTCAAAGTACGATAAGGAATTGACTGAACCGTTCATGCTCAACAATTATGAACAATTATTTATATTATTTACGTTTTTATCACTTGATGCGTTACTTAACATTCGTTCTTTGTAACCTCATTGCTCGCTTAAACTTTGTTGGACTTAGTCAAGTTATTTTTTTTTGTAACAGTTTATATTTTATAATCATAATATCCTATTTTGCACTGTTTTTACACATTTCTGTATTCAATCATAGTTGCAGCAGGTGAGTGAATTATTTAATTTTTTTTCATGTTAGAAATCTCTATGAACTTTCTCACGCTTTAGAATTCACTTAATCTAAGAACTACTTAACGGTTTCACTCTTCAAACATGGAAATTAATGGAGGCTCTACGCGCTGCATTCCGAGATTGCATCTTTTGTGGACACAGAGTTCATATTATTATGAATTATTGGATTTTTAAATATCACTGATAGCTTGAATTGAGCCCAAACATTCGATCGTCACGTATAAAGGATGTAAGAAAGAATTAAATATAATTTACACATTGCTAAAATTATGACGCATGAATTATCGCACAGCACTTTTACTCTTACTCGCTCTTGTGAATATTTACTTGTTATTTAAATTCAAGAGTCACATTAAGCATTATATTTGTATTGAAGAGTAAAATAACCGTAATTATACTATTGCAACAGATAATCCAAGGTTGGAAAGTAACTAGATAATACTTGTCACTAAGTGTGCTTTCCAGCAAATGATACTGCGTAACACAATGTACTATCCGATATGCTTTCCAATTCTACGACACGTATCGATACAATCGTACACAGCTAAAATGTTAAGTTTGACTATGTCGTCTCTCTATGAATACCAACATTTTTACATTTGATACTTTGTGATAAAGATAAACTAAATACGATGTTGTAAAATGTAAATACAGAGCTACTTATAATAATAGGAATCGTGAAAATTAATAACCATCTCTTGATATAGAAAGAAATTATATCTACTAGCTTACCTACGACATATTATGTCATGACTACGATATTCTACATTTTGCTTTACTGATAATAACAAAATGAATAAATTAAGTAATAAACTATAATCGAATCAGACGGACAGCTTGTACAACTTACTAATGCATTAAATTCACCGTGTAATTATCCACAAATAGCGAATAGAGCATATTGGATAATATAAAACATTAATGGGTGCATTCTTTGGAATCGACGTCGAATCGACATGGATTCCATTATCGTTTCTGATTGGATCACTAAGCGCTCAGTGAGCGATTGTTGCTCTGATTCACTCAAAGCATCGAATAATTGATTTCCTTCCATGATAATTTTTTGCAAATAATAGTGACAGTTTTGTACAATTCAGTCTTTTATTTTCAAAGATCTTATATGTTTATATGTATATGTATATGTATAGTAATTATTAATAATTTTCTGATACTATTGTTTCATCGATGGCCTTGTAATATGTAATAGAATGCATACTTATATCAGTTGTGATAATATAATTGCAGTCAATTTACTCTTATTTCAACTGTAATATGAATGTCCTTAAAACGTCCTCATTAAGACAAAAGTATCAAAAACTTTTCTCAACGTATATGGATAATAAGTTATTTTTCAGCCAGTGAAAATTATTGAAACTAAATAATTTATTTTGTTTATAAATATGTTATTGTGTCTTAAACGTTCTAACATGTAGGTATTGACATTTTATTAGTAAGATTCATAGATATTGTACGTGGTTGGACTTCATTGGATGCTTTATTTGGTGACATATAAATCGACACAAAGTATCATTCTATCTTTGTTGCTCACTGAATACCGATAAAGATAAAATGATACTTGTGTTAATTTGTATCATCAAATAAAAAGCACCTATAAAGCTCAGGCACAATACGAGGGAATAGCAATAACGATAGAAATGACATGATTTCAACCCAGCGGATACTGTATATTCCGGTATATCCAATTTTTGATAAGTTGAAATTGTGTTATTTCTATCGCTATTGCTATTCCCTCGTATTGTGCCTGGGGTTTAAAAGTTCTAATATGTTAACGTGCATGCACCGTGCAAAGAAAGTGATTCATATACATATAATATCACAGTCAGACTGAATTTTATTACTGACAATCAATAAGTATCGTACATTTTTTTTTCTTTCTAGCTGATTATGCTTTACATATTTCCTTGCTTATTTAATCTTTTGTAAACTCAATTACTTATTCTTGGCTGTATTAATATTAATTTTTCTATATCAAATGGATGATTTTTCATATAAAGTTGTGCTTTTATTCTAAAATGAAGATTAAACTATCCACGACAGGACACTTATTTTACCCATAAACATAATATGATATTCTATATATTTACGATAATCTCATCATAACACGATAAAAATTAAATGATCTCTATTAATATTATTGCTTCCCGCCCTCTCTTTCTCTCCCCTCTCTCTCTTATTTTAATACGACAAAAATTGCACCAACACTTATTAATGTTCTTATCATAGTTTACTAAGCGCAGTATAAAAGCAAATCAACGCCATGAGACAGCTAGCGTTAGCAATCTTACAATTAAGTGCATTAGCGGTCGTAGGTAAGTTAAATATTAAGAACTAGATAATTAAATTATATTTTTTTATTAATTCATTTATTTTATAAATGTGTCACATTATATTCTGATTTTTATATTGCATACATATACAACAAAAACTATGCTTATAACTTGCATAATTTCACTGTACATGCTTCATTCAGAAAGTTTTCTAGATTTTTTTAGTATAAATGACACAATATTTTTAATACCTTGATTAAAAATCACTATTATTAATTTATATAACATTATATGTTATTAATAGTTTTATAATTTATTAATACCTAAAATCATTAAATATATCCATTTTCTCAACATTTTTAAAAAAATTAAGAATAAATAATAAATAAATATAGATTCTTAGTAAAAAGAATTACTGCCATCGAGCCTTATTTCTTGCCGCTGGTAGATTGTAAAAATTACCTTAGCTACTTGCCCGAGTAGATAATTTTATTAACTACATTATTTTTATAGTATTAATTTATTTTATTATTTTTATTATAATATTTTATTATTCTTATTGTATTAATTAATTTTATATCCTATTAGCTTTTAAATTGTGTATAAAAATAGAAATAAATTTTATCATATACATCTTTTCTTATGTCACAAAATATATGAAATAGAATCAATCTTAAAACATAAAGTTATAGAAAGAAATTTCACGAAAAAATGATAATGGAAATATCATAATGGTAATTCAGATTGATAATAAAGTAATAATGTTTTAATATATCTCTCTCATAAAGTACCCGCAATTTTTTGTATTCATAAATTAATATTATGTCGTACCTTAAGATAATTTTTTAAAAAATTATTAACACCTTGCATAACATTTAAAAGTTACTTTTATTATATATTTGCAGATAGTTATAGAGATGAAACGGCTAGATTAGTAAATGGAAAATCTACCTGTATAAAGGAAAATCCGCATTGTGCCTCTATAAAAGTGCTTGGAGAATACATGTGCGGCGGAAACATAATCAGTAAACAACATATCCTAACTGCCGCGCATTGCGTGTATAGTTTATATTATAACAAGACCCTATTGAAATCTACGACTGTCGTTACTGGTACAACATACCTTGATAAAGGTGGAGTGACTCATAAAGTGGAAAAGGTATATTTCCATGAACGTTATGATCCTCACGTTTTGGGTGTAAATGACATCGGTTTAATAAAGGTACAATTTTAAAATAAATTATATACATATTAAAATATTTATATGTATTATATTAGCTTGTGACATATATGTACGCACATTCAGTATACTTTCTGATTTACATAAAATGTACTTTAATCACTGCTATAGTTTGACTCATTAATATAAAATATATTTTAGCTGCTTAACACCATTAAGTTTGGCCCAACACAACAACGAATTATGCTCCCAAAAAGCGATATTGCATTTAATGAGAACGTTATGATCGCTGCTTGGGGTCGAAAGGGCTTTGAAAAACCCCTGCATAACAATTTGCAAAAATTGGACATGAAAGTCATGCTTCCAACCACATGTCAGGATCGTTATGACAAATCCAGTCTTATTATGCGTATTGACAAGAATAATTTTTGTACCTACATTAAGAACGGAATTGGACTGTGCAACGTATATAATATGTTACATTATATCTGATAAAATGCTCAAATATTGCATAAATCATTTGATTGTATTATCGCACATCTTTTTATATCTAATATCTTCTGTCTAAATATGCACACTACATCTTGTAGTTTATACTTTTGCTCAGTCATGACGATGCTTTAATATCACTTCTATTACAATATACACATTACACTCCTATCATTCGTTCCAAGATAATATTTTATAATTTATATTATAATTAATTCATGTTTGCAAGTGTAATATTCAGTCTTAAAGTAGAACTCTTATATATCGCATTTCTCTCTTTATTACCTTCATTGCTTATAGCAGTAGTATAAACGTTATATTTTTGAAATTTTACTGTTTTAAATGATGTTAATTTTAAGTTCAGTGGGCAACGAATAAAATATTATTAATCTCAATCTTATAAGGGACAAAGAGAGTACAATAATAATTTCCATCTTTTGATTGCAGGGTGATAGCGGTAGTGGAGTAATCAGAAAGCGTGACAGAAAAATTGTTGGTTTAGTGTCTGGTGGAATACCATGCGCCAAGGGTTATCCTGATATATATACCAATGTTTGTCGCTACGTTGATTGGATCCAAGTAAAAATATTGCTATGATATTTTTTATATTGCATTCCTTTGTATTGTATATATTCTTAATACTTAATAAAGATCAATCATTGGGCAAATGTATACTACTAATAAACCTTTTCAAAAATAAAGAAAAGGTATGGAAAAATATGCCAAATACATAAGAAAAGTACGATAAAAATATTACATCCTTCCTAAAACCAAAAATTTAATTAATTAAATTAATTAACTAACTAAAAAAATTATTAAAAATTCTGGGAATGTTATATATACATTATAGCTAAGATAATATTTCTGATACTTTTTTATTATATTATAATATTTATTATCTAATTTGTAACAATAAACCAATTTACGGTACATAATTATCAAATTCATCCTTAATAATATTGTTGTTAAATTTGAAAAGTAAAATAAGGTTCTTTTCAAATTTAATAACAATATTATTATATATATAATACGCATAAAATGTATATATTTTATGTGTATATATATATATATATATACACATATAATATGTACATTTTATGTAATAATATGGTTATGATCATTCCTAGTAATAAATACGAACTGACATTCTACCAATATGATATGTAATACTTAGCTACAGTCGTACTATACAGTCCAACCTGGTATTTCAAGTTTTATTTTTTAATTTGACTGACTTCATGGAAACAAAGAGAAACGGAGACTATTTTTCAAGCTAAAGTTTAGAAATTTCAAACTTTAGCTTAAAAAAACTTTCAAGTTTCTTATATGGATAAAGATAGTTTCAGTGAAGATCAATAAATAATTGTGGCACAACAGGATCGGCTTTAAAAATTTCCAACACATAATAAATAAATGAAATAAAACTCATATTCTCTTAGTTGATTCAGTATAAAGAACAAACAAATTTTAAGAAGATAAAATGATCGAACGTATAATAGATTAAAATATATGTCCTTTAAACTTATTTTCTTTTTGTAACTGAATTTCTATAATTTAATTATATTTTTTTATAAATACATTGTTTCATTCCTTACTACAAAAATGTGCATATAAATGTATTAATTACATTGAATATACGTGTGTATGTGTAAATTTTTCAATCCATTCAGAGCACGGAATTATTTGGAATGGAAATATTCGGAATAAATTCCGATCGGAATTGTCAATTACGTATATAATATTCCTTAGCTTTCTCTTTTGTTTCTGGAGAAAAATGGAATAATCTCGATCTGAATTTTCATAATATATGCTCAGTCATATACTGAAACATTTTTAAAAACACGTGCGACCCTGCATCAATATCACTTTTTTATTCGCTATCAAGCTACTAAACAGTTTTTCATCTGTAGAGTGAATAAAACGTCTATAAACATCACCCATCATGATATTCTCGCGTTACAGATGTTGCATTATTAATACGTAGTGTATACACTTGCTGTAGGATGGCATTAAATTTAAGAAGTCTCGTCATACATAACGATCTATTGCTCCAACCGATAATAAAACGACAAAAAGAGAAACTTAGTTTCTTCACAGACATCAGGATGGATGTTTCAAAATATTCAGCGTGTATAGGTGTGCATTCTTTTCTTCGATTAATTTAGATAGATACGTTAAACAGAAACATAGCAAGCACATAATATACACGAATAAATATTTCGAATTATTTTCTACAAAACAGTCCTGTTACAAAAATAGTAGCTAAAATATGAGATAATGATACTTATTTAAAAAGTCTCTCTCTCTCTCTCCCTCTCTCTCTCTCTCTCTCTCTCGATCAAATATTTTATTACTTTTACATTCTTCTATTACACATTTATATAAACATACATACATGCACATATATGCATACAATACATAATACAATATATCAATTTTTTATATGTAATTTGCTCTTTGACATTTTTTAAATCTAGGTAATAATAAATTTAATCGAAAGTTTAATATTTACAATTGCAAATATGTGTCACGAGAATAAATAGATATCTTTATTTTTTTACAAAAAAAAATAAGAAGAAAGTGATGTATATTAGAAAAAAAAAAATAAGAAGAAAAAGAGAGAATATACATGAAAAAAAGGAATGAAAATACATAACAATTACATAATATTCATGGACAAAAAAGAAATTTGATTTTATTAAAATTTTATTCGCATTTATATCCCTATAAAATAGATTATGAATGGGCTATTGGATTAAATCGGACTAACTTGGCACTGTTGGGCGTTTGGCCAAAAAACAATGAAACTAAACAGAAAAAATTAATATCAAACTTTTGTACAATTCTTATGTTAAACACTGCAATCTGTGGCTGCTACATTCCAAGTATACATTCATTGTTTAAAGTTTGGGGTGATATAATGTCTATGATTGATAATCTACAATATACTTTACCGATGTCAGTAGCAGTAATAAAATTATCCATTATGTGGCTGAGAAAGAAAGGTAATATATAGACGAAACAGAAGCTAGTTGTTACAATTAGTCCTTTTAGCCAAAGAAGACAACACATTTTTATAAATTTTATAATACTTATCACATATCACTAACAATTAGTGGCAGCCATAATTGAGTAGAAGATGCTACATGTATGCTACATGAAAATGCTAACTGTATGTTTATGTTATTATATTATGTAAAGGTAAATATTTCATTTGTATGAATTGTTTCTTTTGGATACGTAAGCTAGAAATATATTATTATACTTTTGTATATTTATTTTATGTACATTTAGTTATAATAACACATTTTTTATTTTATTCGAAAAGTATATGTATTGGTTTTTTATCTATATTTTCTCGAATAAAAAATGGCGAGTTAGGGCTAGTTATTATATTTTGATCGAGACAGATTATAATAATGAAACAATAATTAACCTCGTACTTAAAATTGATAAACTAATAATTTAAGCTCTTTCTCTTTCTTATAGTTAATTATTATATATTTAATAATTAATTCAAGAAAAAAATCTGAATTAACATATTTTTTACGTTTAATTTTATATCCTAAAATAAACATTCAGTATAAAATATTTTGTGTTTAATTTTTTATTGTAATCTTGAATTTGTTCTTTACAGTTTACTTATCAACGAAAAATTTCAATTTTCAATATTCAAAAACATTTATATAAATTAGAAAAAATTGTTTTTATCTAACGTAGACTAGTTAACTCTAATTAGACTATAGTTAAAAATATATTTCAATCAATGCATAAGTATTCATTAAAATAATTTAAATGTATACATGAGTTAAAAAAGATTCTAGTAAAAGATTGTAACAACTAGCTCGGTTCTCCTTTATATACATATTTCTGTAAATTATATATTAGTAAAAACCAATTTGTTTCAATCTTGCTATTTTAATTCAAAAGAGTAATATCCTATTCTAAGCTTAATTATAATACATGTATCTCTGTTATCTTCGTCGATTACAGATGTTCTACCCCTTTTAAACATGATTAAAGACGATTGGTTAAAACCGAAAATGATAAAAGAGAGAGATGTTATGGTAAAACGAGCGCGAATGGCACGTATATTTACGATATTCGGATACTTCACGATGTTAACATCTTTTAATTTGTGTGTAGTTCTTCCTGTTTTCGGTATTTCAATAAGATACATGACAAATAAAACAGATCCAGGCAAATTATTGCCGCTACAAACATATTATATATACGATCGAGATAAAAGTCCATTTTACGAAATAACTTATATCATGCAGAGTCTCGGCTTGACGGCGGTAGCTATTATGTATACTGGCGTAGATAGTTTTTTAAGTTTATTAGTTTTTCACGTATGTGGTCAGTTGGAAAATCTCAAAATACGTATCATTCACCTGGATAAGTTCCAAAATTTCGAAAATGCTTTATCACAAAGCGTACAGGATCATATACGTCTCATCAGGTTACGCATACTATTATTGATTTTTAATAATTTTTCAACAAATATAAAAAATAAAGCACATTTTCCACTAACATATTTACTTAAATTATTCTAAAGAATAACATAAAATAAAAAGATTCTTTAAATATTATGATATAAACAAATAATAAAAAAATTAATTCGTAATATGACTTTTTCAATAACTTTCTTTTTTTAATAATTTTCAGATTTATTAATATCATTGACGAAATATTTACATTTATGCTACTTGGTACGCTGTTTTATCTTGGCATATTATTTGCACTTCACGGTTTTTTATTGACTACTGTAAGTAACCTTTCTTAATTAATCTATCAATAACGTGATGTTTTATAAATGTCATCTTTATTAGAATATTTTCTAAAAGTTTAGTAAATTAAACATATACATTGTACATAGGCGTAAACAAACATGCATGTTTGTTTGACTGTTCCATACATTCCGAGAAATGTTGTAAGAAATTATTTTCATATTTTTCTAAATTTTTAAAGGAGGGATCCCATTTGCCTACAAATCAATTGCCTACACCCAAAAAAAGATAATCTAATTTTAAAGTGAAATTTCCGGTAACCTCATATTTTAAGCAGAAACTTTTACAGAAAGAGTATTCCTCTTCTAATGCACTAGACTATTAATCAAAAATGTATTGGAAATTATTCTAACAGTTTTCCTCTTATATGAAGAGGAATATATTTATTGAAAGCGGAGTGGCTCTTACGACTAAATTATATATTAGCAACAGCAAGATTTTTACCGCAGATGCAAAACGAAAATACTCTAATTGTAAGAATATTGTGCTTAGCACAATATTCTTACAATTATTTTCCTCTTGATTTCAGAAGGATCCTCTTGAGGCCGTATATAAGAATAAAAATCCTCTAAAATTTAGCGGTTTCTGCTAATATTAAAATTATTTTTTTTGAGTGTACAGTATCATTTGCCGGCATCACATTTACCAACAATTTATTTGCGCACAAAAATTATTGCCTACAGCTCGACTGTCTACAAGAACTTTTGCGCACAAATACCAGAGACGAAATCACATTTGCCTACATATATTATTGCCTATAAGATTTGATTGCCTACATGTATTACTGCCTACAGCCCGATTGTCTACATGCACTTTTGCGCACAAATAAAAATTTTAGACACGGAGTTACATTTGCCTATATGGCTGCGTATATTATTGCCTACAAGTATTATTACTGTCTACAGCTCGATTAACTAGATGCGTTTTCATATACAAATAAAAATTTCAGAAACGAAATCATATTTGCCTACATGTATTATTGCCTAAAGTGTTATTGCCTACAGCTTGACCATTTCTACGGCTCATTTTCTATGGCTCATTTTCTATGGCTCATTTTTATGGCTCATACATGTACTATTATCTGCTTTAAAAACGAATTCTTTGTTTTAAAACAAATACTCTGCTTTATAAATACAAACTACTTTCTTACTTAACTTAATCTTTATACGCAAAAGTGCTTGTAAGCAATCGAGCTGCAGGCAATAATACTTGTAGGTAATAATACATATAGGCAAATGTAACTTCGTTTCTGAAATTTTTATTCGTGTGTAAAAATGTATGTAGGCAATCAAGCTGTAGACAATAATTTTTGTGCGCAAACAAACTGTCGGCAAAAGTGATATAAGCAAACGATACCACAGACGATCAATTTGTAGGCAAAAAAGAGCCATCTCATTTTTAAATTCTGTATTTTTATACATTTTATATAATTTAAATAATTAAAGTTGTATAAATAAAGAATAATCATATACGTACCTAATCTGTTATATATAATAATGTAATATAATTAACAAAAACATATTATCAATTATAATTAATGTAATTAACATTATATTAAACATTTTAACTTATTTATTTTACACCAATTACTATTCTTAAAAAAATATTCAAAAATTAAATACTTAATTCTATTAAATAGAATTGAATAAAATTAATCCATTCGTTTGTTTAGATGGTGACTCAAGGTCGCGATTTGTCAGTACCACGTTTAACTTTCATTATAACGGTATTTATTAATACGTTCGGACACACATGTCTCTATTGCGCTGTAGGAGAAATTTTGGTTACACAAGTATGTTATCTTCTTGGTTAACTTATTTCGAATATAAATTATACGATATACTAATTAAAATACTTGTCTAATTTAACACACGATCTATATAACATATACGTAAATTTATTGCGTATGGCTATATATGTCAAGTGCGAAGGAGTTTATCAAGCTGCATACAAATACAAGTGGTATAACTTGGAGCCAAAGAAAGCAAACAACATAATGATGATAATGATTCGAGCCAACAAATCGTTGTACCTTACCGCAGGAAAACTGTTCCCTATGTCGATGTCTACGTTTTGTAACGTAAGCTAGCTAATAGAAATTGTTCATACCACCTTTACTCTTACCTTTATCGATTTTCTTAATATAGATCACATAAAAAATAAAATAAAAACGACTTTTGTGTATATAATATTTTTTTTATTTTATTCGTTATGTGATTTATATATACATGTACCTACAATATGTAAGATATCTGTAAGATTTTATTTTTATCATCTCGTCATTAATTAAGTTATTTTTACACGCCACATACATTTTTTATAAATTATTTTTTTATAATTAATATTATATTTTTAGTTGTTAAAGACATCGGGCGGTTATATATCAGTTTTACTGGCACATCGAGAATAAAAATAAAAATTTGCAAAAGTCGAATAAAAATCTGATTTTAAAACACATACCGGAAAGTAACAATTAATGTGTTTATGTAATCACAATTAAAATTTAAATATAATAAAGTTTACTTCGTTTATAAAAATGCATGCTTATTTACATACTTGTCAAATACGTTGTGTATTACAATAAAAACGCTATTGCAGTATGTTGATTCAAACATCCATTTCTCCTGGAAATGTCTTTTTTGGACGTTCTTTATAGGACATTTCTTGGAGAGAATTGTATGTTGTATAGATAATTTCGAAAATTTTTATATATTTTTGCATCAACATTTTGGAAAACATTTTTTGAAATTTATTGAACAAGAATATTTCAAAATAGTTACTATTTTGATAAAAAACGAACTATTTTATATAAATTGTTCTAAAATAATAAAAAAATTTCCAAATTATTTCAGTTTAATGAAATTTATTTAAATACAAATAATAAAAATTAAAAAAATAAGACCTTGTTGAATTCCAACTTTGCGTTTTTTCGTCACAATTACCGCGGTTGACCCCATAAAATTAGAAAGAATTCTTTCTTGCATAAGTAATGTATCATAAACGTGTAAATAATTATAATGATAATGATGTAATAATAACGTTTTGATAAGTCTCACATACGGTTTTCGTAACTTTATATTGAATTAATCAGAATTGGTCTACAGATGGAGAGAGAGAGAGAGAGAGAGAGAGAGAGAGAGAGAGAGAGAGAGAGAATAAATAACGCTGTTACTTTTGTACTTTTTTAACGATTTGATAATGACGATGCAATTTTTTTATGATGGTAACAGTAACTGAAAACAAAAATTGAAAAAAAATAATTTTTCAAAAGTATTGTGTCACGATCATATGTTGTTTATTGTAAAAAAATAACTCATCTTACTTGTAACAAATTAAAATAACAAGTAAAAATAACAAATTGACGTACTACAAATGAGTTACTTTTTACAAGAAATTATGCGTAATAGTGATTAGTTACTTTTTAGAAGTGATCTCCTCAATTTTATTTATCTTTCAGCTATATAGTCGTTACCATCATAAAAAAGACTACAACTCATTGCCAAATCATTATTGTAAAAAGTAACGACAAACGATTCTAATCCTTGATTGTATCATTCACTCAACTACATTAGAACATATTATTAACATTATTAAAATATATTTGAAAAATTGCAGTATGGTATGCTGTATAATATGTATATATACATATAATTGTACATTTTATGTAAAAATATGATTACGATCACTCCTAGTAATAAATACGAACTAACATTCTGTCAGTTTGATATGTAACACATGGCTATAGTCGTACTATACAGTAAAACCGTTTGGTATTTCAAATTTTATTTTAGAAATTGACTTTAATAAAACAAAGGGAAATGGAGTCTGTTTTTTAAGCTAAACTTTAGAAATTTCAAACTTTAGCTTAAAAAAACTTTCAAGTTTCTTATATGGATCATGGTAGTTTCAGTGAAGTGATCAATCAATAATTGCGGCACAACAGGATCGGCTTTAAAAATTTCCAACACATAATAAATAAAAGACTCATATTCTCTTAGTTGATTCTGTGTAAAGAACAAACAAATTTTAAGTAGATAAAATGATTAAACGTATATTAAAATATGTTCCTTATTTTCTTTTTGTAATTAAATTTACATAATTTAATTATCTTTTTTTATAAATACATTGTTTCATTCCTTACAACAAAAATATACATAAATGTATTAATTACATTGAACATACGTGTATATATAAATTTTTCAACCGTTCAGGGCACATATTACGGAATTATTCTGAGTGGAAATGTTCGGAATATAAATTCCGATCGGAATTATCAATTACATATATAATATTGCTTAGACCTCTATAATGTTTTCTAGGGAAAAATGAAATAATTCCGATCAGAATTTACTTTCATAACACATGCCTAGTCATGTACTAAAACATTTTTAAACACGTACGGCCCTGCATCAATATCACTTTTTTATTCGCCATCAAGCCACTAAACAGTTTTTCATCTGTAAAGTGAATTAAACGGCTATAAACATCACCACTATAATATTCTCGTCACGAATGTTGCATTATTAATACGTAGTGTATACACCAGCTGTAGGATGGCATTAAACTTAGGAAGTCTCATCATACATAACGATCTACCGCTCCAACCGATAATGAAACGAGAAAAAGAGAAGCTTAGTTTCTTCACAGACACCAGGATGGATGTTTCAAAGTATTCAGCATATGTAGGTGTGCATTCTTTTCTTCGATTAATTTAGATAGATACAGATTAAACAGAAAGATAACAATGTTCATCAAATGCATAATCACAAATAAATGTTTCGAATTATTTTCTACAAAACAGTACTGTGTTACAAAAATACCAGCTCAAATATGGGATAATTATACCTATTTAAAAAGAAATCTATATATATATCTCTCTAAAATTACTGATGCATATAAAAATTGTAAACATTAGGAAAGTTTGTATCACTAAATTATTTTCTTTCTTTTACATTCTTCTATTACACATTTATATAAATATGCATACATATACACGCATACAATATATAATACAATATCACTTTTTTATATGTAATTTGCTCTTCGACATTTTTTTTAAGCTAGTAATAAATTTAATCGAAGGTTTAATACTTACAATTGCAAATATGGGCCACAAAAATAAATAGATATCTTGTATAAAAAGAAAATATTTAAAATATCTTTTAAATAAAAAGAAAGTAACGTATATTAGAAAAAAAGAGAAAAATAAGTAGAAAAAGGGAGAATATACATGAAAAAGGGGAAAGAAAATACATAACAATTACATAATATTTAAAGACAACAAAAGAATTTGATTTTATAAAAATTTTTACTCGCATTTATCTTCTATAAAATAGATTATGAATGGGCTATTGGATTAAATCGGACTAGTTTGGCACTGTTGGGCGTTTGGCCAAAAAACAACGAAACTAAACAGAAAAAATTAATATCAAATATTTGTACAATTCTTATGTTAAACACTGCAATCTGTGGGTGCTACATTCCAAGTATACATTCTTTGTTCAAAGTTTGGGGTGATATAATGTCTGTGATTGATAATCTACAATATACTTTACCTTTGTCGGTATCAATAATAAAATTATCCATTATGTGGCTGAGAAAGAAAGGTAATACATAGACGAAATAGAAGCTAGTTGTTACAATTAGTTTTTTTAATCCTTTCAGCCAAAGGAGACAACACATTTTCAAAAATAATATAATATCTATAACATTCCACTAACAATTAGTAGCAGTCATAATTGAACTGTAAAAGATGCTACGTATGTTTATACGATTATATTATGTGGAGGTAAATATTTCATTGTGTGAATTGTTTGTTTATTGGATACGTAAGCTAGAGGTATGTTAGCATTCTCTTGTATATTTATTTTATTATTTTATATACATTAAATTATAATAATATATTTTGTTTCACTCGAAATGTATATACATATATTGGTTTTTATCTGTATTTTCTCGAATAAAAAATGACGAGTTAGAGCTAGTTATTACACTTTAATCGACGCAAGTAACATTGTAATAACACTAATAACTTGCCTCGTACGTAGAATTGATAAACATCAATAATTTAAGCTCTTCCTTTCTTATAGTTGAGAGAGAGAGAGATTGCTATATATTTAATAATTAATTCAAGAAAAAATCTGAATCAACATATTTTTTACATTTGATTTTGTATCCTAAAATAAACATTTAGTATAAAGTATTTTGTGTTTGATTTTTTATTGTAATTTTAAATTTGTTCTATACAGTTTACCTGCCGACAAAAAATTTCAATTTTCTGTATATATATATATATATATATTTAAAAACATTGATATTTAAAAAAAATTGATTATCTACTTAGACAATTATGTTAACTAATTAAACTTTAAATAGATATTTCAATCAAAGTATAAGTATTCATTAATTTAAAATTTAAATGTAAACATGAGTTAAAAAGTAAAAGATTGTAACAACTAGCTCCGTTCTCCTTTATACATATACATATTTCTATAAATTATATATTAGTAAAGAAATAATTCTTTTTCAATCTTGCTATCTTAATTCAAAAAAGTAATATCTAATTCTAAGCTTAATAATAACATATATAACTGTTATTTTCGTTAATTACAGATGTTCTACCCCTTTTAAACATGATTAAAGACGATTGGTTAAAACCGAAAATGATGAAAGAGAGAGATGTTATGATAAAACGAGCGCGAATAGCACGTATATTTACGATATTCGGATACTTTATGATGTTGGTATCTTTTAATTTGTGTGTAGTTCTTCCAGTCTTCGGTATTTCAATGAGATATTTGACAAATAAAACGGATCCAGGCAAATTAGTGCCGCTACAAACATATTATATATACGACCGAGATAAAAGTCCATTTTACGAAGTAACTTATATCATGCAGAGTCTCGGCTTGTCGGCGGCAGCTATTATGTACACTGGTGTAGATAGTTTTTTAAGTTTATTAGTTTTTCACGTATGTGGTCAGTTGGAAAATCTCAAAATACGTATCATCCATATGGATAAGTTTCAAAATTTCGAAAATGCTTTATCACAAAGTATACAGGATCATATACGTCTCATCAGGTTACGCATATTATTATTGATTTTTAATAATTTTTTAACAGATATAAAAATATAAAGCACATTTTCCACTAACATATTTACTTAAATTATTTTAAAGGCTAACATAAAATGAAAAGATTCTTTACATATTATGACATAAACATATAATTGAAAAATAAATTTGTAAATATGACTTTTTTAATAACTTTCTCTATTTAATAATTTTTAGATTTATTAATATCATTGACGAAATATTTACATTAATGCTACTTGGTACGCTGTTTTACCTTGGCATATTATTTGCACTTCATGGTTTTCTATTGTGTACGGTAAGTAACCATTCTTAATTAACCTATCAATAATGTGATGTTTTATAAATGTCATCTTTATTAGAATATTTTCTAAAAATTTAATAAATTAAACATATACACTATGCACAGGCGTAAACAAATACACATGCTTGTTTGACTGTCCCATACATTCCAAGAAATGTAAGAAATTCTTTTCATATTTCCAAATTTTTAAAGGAGAGATCCCATTTGCCTACGAATCGATTGCTTATAGTATCGTTTGCCTACATCACTTTTGCCAACAATTTATTTGCGCACAAAAATTATTGCCTACAGCTCGACTGTCTACATTGTCTACAAGCACTTTTGTTTGCGCACAAATACCAGAAACGAAATCACATTTGCCTACATATATTATTGCCTATAAGATTGATTACCTACATGTATTACTGCCTACAGCTTGATTGTCTACAGACACCTTTGCGCACAAATAAAAATTTCAGAAACGAAGTCATATTTGCCTACATGTATTATTTCCTAAAGTATTATTGCCTATAGTTCGAACACCTCTATTATGGCCTATACATGTACCATTTTCTACTTTAAAAACGAATTCTTTGTTTTAAAACAAATACCCTGCTTTAAATATACAAACCATGTTCTTATTTAACTTAACTTTTATACGCAAAAGTGCTTGTAAGCAATCGAGCTGTAAGCAATAATACTAGTAGGTAATAATACATATAGGCAAATGTAACTTCGTTTTTGAAATTTTTATTCTTGTGCAAAAATGCATGTAGGCAATCAAGCTGTAGACAATAATTTTTGTGCGCAAACAAACTGTTGGCAAAAGTGATACAAGCAAATGATACTGTAGACGATCGATTTGTAGGCAAAAGGAGCCATCCCATTTTTAAATTCTGTACTAATGCATTTTACATAATTTAAATAATTAAAGTTGTGAATAAAAAATAATCATATACATACCAAATCTCTTATATATAATAATGTAATATAAATAACAAAAACATATTATCAATTATAATTGATTATATTAAATTATATTAAAATAATATTAAAAATTTACCTTATTTATTTAACACTAATTACTATTCTTAAACATTCAAAAATTAAATACTTAATTCTATTAAACAGAATTGAACAGAATTAATCCATTTGTTTAGATAGTGACTCAAGGTCGCGATTTGTCGATACCACGTTTAACTTTCATTATAACGATATTTTTCAATGCATTCATACACACATGTCTCTATTGCGCTGTAGGAGAAATTTTGGTTGCACAGGTATGTTATCTTCTTGGTTAACTTATTACGAACAGAATATAAATTATACGATATACTAACTAAAATATTTGTCCAATTTTACACACGATCTATATAACATATACGTAAATTTATTACGTATGGTTATGTATGTCAAGTGCGAAGGAGTTTATCAAGCTACATACAAATACAAGTGGTATAACTTGGAGCCAAAGAAAGCAAAAAACTTAATGATGATAATGATTCGAGCCAACAAATCGATGTACCTCACCGCCGGAAAACTGTTCCCTATGACGATGTCTACATTTTGTAACGTAAGTTGGCTAATAGAAATTTTTCATATCACCTTTACCGATTCTTAACATAAATCATATAAAAAATAAAATAAAAATAACTTTTATGTATATAACATTTTTTTTATTTTAATTGTTATGTAATTTATACATACATATGTACAATATGTAAGATATCTATAAGATTTTATTCTTATTATTTTGTCATTAATTAAGTTATTTTTACATTTTTTATAAATATTATATTTTTAGTTATTAAAGACATCGGGCGGTTATATATCGGTTTTGCTGACACATCAAGGATAAAAATAAAAATCTGCGAAAGTGTCAGATAAAAATCTAATTTTAAATATTCATAATGGGAAGTAACAATCAATGGCTTTATGTAGTCACAATTTGAATTTAAATATAATAAAGTTTACTTCGTTTAATAAGAATGCATGCTTATTTACATACTTATCAAATACATTATATATTTCAATAACAATGTTATTGCATCATCTTGATTTGAATTTGCATTTCTTTTGGAAACATCTCCCTTGGTCGTTCTTTAATAGGACATCTCTTGGAGAGAATTGTATTTTGTGTAGATAATTTCGAAAATTTTAATATACCTATTTTTGTATCAACATTTTGGAAAACATTCTTTGAAATTTATTGAACAAGAATATTTCAAAATATTTAATATTTTGACAATAGACGAATTATTTTATACAAATTATTCTAAAATAATAAAAAAAGTTTCCAAATTATTTCGGCTTAATTAAATTTATAATTAAATTAGGCACATAAGTCTCTCATACGTAAATTATATATTTAAAGTTAAATTATTCGTATTCTAATGTAATAAAATCTCATCAAAATACAATAACCTATAATTCTCGAAATGTTATTATTAAATTTATAACTCAGATTATTTTTATAAAAATATATAACATGTTATTGGTTTAATACTACAAATTTTGCTCACACGATTGCTCATGAATTGAATAAAAAGTAATGTAAACATTATGTAAATATCATTCTTAATTCGACGACAGATAATTTGCGTGATAATCTTGTTAGGATAAAAATGGAACATATTAATGGAACATATTAAATTATTCACAACTAGCTGGGTACATATTTCACTATGTATATACCACATCAAATATTAGCCATATTAAGAGCGCGAATTTCAAACACATTCTTATTCAAGCGCTCACAATGAACAAACCATTAGCCATATTGGATTTGTATAATATGGTTCAAGTGTGGTTGGCTGTCAGATCCCCACTACTTTTAGGCTACTGTGCATCCATGGAAATAATCTTACGTCTTTCTACTCATTATACTGTACTTTTCGAAGTTTGCCACGTACAAAAGCAGATCTATGCAATGAAACTGTTAGCGTGTATTCTGATCGCGGTCGTAGGTATCCTGATTGGCGGTCGTAGGTAAGTTAAATATCAGACCCCCCCCCCCCCGATAAAATTTTTTCTTTTAACAATTTCACAAGTTTTATATAATTAAAACTTATTTTTTATTAATTCGTTAACTTTATAAAAGCGTTACACATATATTTCATTTTTTATATCGCATATATAAAAATAATGCATATAAATTATTTAATTGTGTATTGTATATAGTGTTTAATTTCGTCACTCATTATGTTCCTATTATATTTATTTGTTCTATTATTTTGATTATGTAATTTTATTATTCTTATTAAATTTATTGATTTTATCTCGTCAATTTTATAAACTTTGTATACAATTAAAAACAAATTCTATCACATCTTTCCTTATATCACAAAAAATATAAGATAGAATAAACTTTAAAATAGAATTGACCAGGCAAGCGTGAGGATGGGGTAATTGCGACGATGCTGTATTAAAATTCAAAACGACTTTATATTTTATACTATTTCATGTTCAATAATGATTTGACTTTAAATTGACGCAAGTTCTCCTAAGGAAAAATTTTATATAATAATAATCAAATCCGTAAAGCGTTGTAAAAAAAGTTACGTTATCAAAGTTTGCAGATATCTATTCAAAGTTAATTCTTTTCCAGATAAAGCCATTTTAAATACGATATTCATTACTTTAAGATTACTATGACTCTAAATTAACGTTTTGTGAAAGCTATAATACAATTAATATAGTGTATAAAATTTTTTAATTGAACATCACAATTACCCTACTATCAATTAATTTTATACGTATGGGATAAGTGTGACGATAAGTGTCGGTGGAACCGTGATAGAGTTCGCGCGCGGTTGGCGGCACAATATAAGTAAGAACAGTAAGTAGACTCAGTTAAAAATAGTGGCGACCGTTCTGCACAATTCTGCACAATTTTTAACATGGCGCACCAATCAGTTTCTATATTCCCTAAGATTATTCACTCTTATTGGTGCTCACGCACAATTTCCAACATGGCCGAGTGGGACATAAAGATCAAATGTGCAGACACAGAATGTAGTTACTGTTCTTACTTACACTATGCCCTGGGCCGGTTGCGCGAAGTAATCGAAGTAATGGTTGCCCGTTATCACGAATGCGACACGTAAATTACTGACGATTGTGCGTTCATTAATTATTTTACGCAAGTACAATTCAAATATCATTTTGGATTATATTTGTACAACAATAATAATATTCATGCATAGTCTGCTTTTTTATTATTAAATAAATATTAATTTCATATGAAATTTACAATGATCTGTAACAATTTTAAGGTTATAAATAAGAGAAAACGAACATTAAAAATATCTTCTTGTAATTTTTAATTATTTCTTAATGCTGTCTTATATAAAATAAATAATTATAAGGTTTCTTAGCAAATGTTTAATTATTTTACAGATTATGTGGCGAAACTATATTCCAAAAAGAAAGAAAATTTCATTTGTGATAAAAAATATTCTAATAGTTTTACTTATCTGTGTATATAAAGAACGCAAAAATATGTAAATGGTAAACAGACATGCTAATTTTTATATTGATCAAATATATTTTAATAATAAAAATGAATATCGTTTGCGTTTTGTAATTATTAATGTTTTTTTATTTTCATTCCTTACAAATAGATTTCATACCATCATAAAAAAATTGCAACATTATTGCCAAATCATTATTATAAAAAGTAACGACAAACGATTCTTATCCCTGATAATATCATTCATTCAAGTATATTAAGCCCGATCTACATAAGACGCTGAACGCGGGTCGCAAGTCGCAATATTAGAAACTAACCTGCCGTATTTTAATTATAATATGGTTGTAGGACGCAGAACACAGGATGCAGAAAGTTGGGTGAACTTACTTTCGCGTCCTGCGTCTTGCGTCCTACGTATTGCGGTCTTATTGCGACCTATTACAATCTGAAATACATTTCACACGTGACCTGAGACCTGCGTTCGTATGTAGATCGGGCTTTAGATGACATTACTAACAAATTGTATGACGTTTGGAAACTATTCATTCGCAGGAGTTTACAGCCAGATAAACCAGAAAAATTAGTAAATGGAATACCCGCCAGCATACAGAAATATCCGCATTGTGCCTCCTTAAGAGATAACAACAACCACTTTTGTGGTGGTAGCATAATTGATTCGCGTTACATCCTAACTGCTGGGCATTGAGTGGACAATTTACTTTCCAACGACTCTCTAAGCTCTGTGACTGTTGTCACTGGCACAACTGATCTCAATACAGGCGGACAGGCTCATAAAGTAGAACAAGTTTGGGGCCATGAAGATTATCATCCCTTTGATCCTAATGGTAGAAGCCCACACGACATAGGGTTGATATAAAGGTATAATTTTGAAATAAAATATGTATTTAACCAGGGAATGGAAGTAACTAGTTACTTTTATCGTTACTTACTATCCCTTATCGTTACTCTATTATAATAACGATTTTTCGATGACTTTTTTTGCCCGTAATATCAGAGTTGGAAATTCACTCGATCATTAGTTGTAACGAGTTGGAAAAGTCACTCGTTACTGAAAAAATTAACTTGGTATTTGTAACTCATTATTTTTTAGTCGTTATTTGTAACAAGTAACGTTACTCGTTACAAGTTATTTTTCAGTAAATAAACGCGTAATGATGCAAGTTACTTTTTAAACCTTAGCGCGATCTTAGCATTTAGTTAGTTACCGTAGTTATAGAAAATTGCAACGTCATTATCAAATTGTTATCATAAAAAATAACGGAAAAAGTAACGGAATAGTATCTCTTCCATTCCATTTAACATATATATATATATATATGATATAATATTATAGATATATATTAGTTTTGTGATATATTTATGAATCGCCCGATATACTTTCTGCTATATTAATAATAAAAAATAATATAGAGGTTTTATTTAAGTAATGAAATATTCTTTAATCACTTCTTCAGTTTAAATCATTGGTATAAAATGTTTTTAGTTGGCTACGCCTATTTAGTTTGGTCCTGGACAACAAGCAATTGAACTTCCAACAAAGGATATTACAGAGAATGATATTGTTATAATCGCTGCCTAGGGTTGTACAGGATACCGAAAACCGCTACTGAAAATTTGCAGAAATTGGACACGAAAGTCAAGCTACCGGACAAAGTCTTATTATGAAAACTTCATGTCGATGCACAAAACCGAATTCTGTACTCTCTTCACTTACGGAACTGGACTGTGACATGTATGTAATATTATATTGTATCTATAACAGAATGCCCAAATGCACATCTAATTTTCTTGTTGCTTATTTTTTTTATTTAATGTGTTTCGTCAAGATAATTTATTAATTATTCTTGTTGGCTCACGATGCTGCATAAACATCATTCGCGTTACGATATTGCTAGAGTCCAACCGAAATTTTGGTTTCGGTTTCAGTTTCGGTGCAGTTTCGGTCAAAAATCAGGATTTCAGTTTGAATCCGGTTTCGGCAAGAAAATTTCGGTGGATAAACCGAAACTGTATAAGTTGCAACGCGCCAGTGAGTGCTTAAAAACAATTGTTCGATTTTAATTATTAACTTGTTGATTAAGCTTAAAACAATTCGAATTCAAACTTTTATGTGATCCTAATAATAACAGTGATTTGGTTTTTCTTTAAAAGTTGAAAATGTAATATTATTATATTATTATAGTTAGATATTTTAATATTTTTAATAAAATCTTGTTTTTTAAAGAGTACATAAATTTTTAATGATTTCTAAAAATCATACGGTCTATGTAAAATTTATCTAAAAATTAATTTTGACTCTGACCGAAAAAATATGACTTCGTTAGCTTCTCTCTGTCTCTCTTTTTTTTAGTAAGACTTACATAAGT